GCTTCTTTGTTTCCACCTTACTGCTCAAGCTCAGAACTTCAGGTGGGCCTGGTCCTTCAGCATCCATGCATAGAGAAGGCTGAGCGGGGGTGGGAACCCCACCTGATGGAGAAAAGAGATTTTTGGGAGGGACACTGCGGTGGCCACCATGACACGACACAACCACACCTCCAGGGTGAAAGGGAATGAAGACAAGGGAGGGACACAGCAGTGGGACCCCTAGGTCACCTGCCAGGCTTGATCTCCCTCCAGGGCCACCCTGGGGGGCCTGGGGGGTGTTGGGCTTCAGCTACAGTGATTAGGCTGGAGGGACTCAATATAAAGGACCCACTACCTCCTCACCAGGTTCCAAATGCAGCCCGTCTAAGTCCACCCTCTGAGTTTCTGGAACTCAGCTGAAAAAATACATGAACAGGCCAGACCCAGAGCCCAAGCCAAACACGTCAGGGGTCACATGGGGTTGTAACCCCGTGCTCAGTGGTCGGGGACTCCTTGCAAATCTGCAGAAATCCCTGTTCTGCCTCATTTCTGGGAGAAACCCCAGCTCTTCTCCTGCTCTGTCTGTCCTTCTCTTGAGGCTATTGCCCTGGAGGGATGCAGAGTCCTTGAACCTGGCCCTCCAAACGTACATAAGCAGCCTGTTCAATAAAACAAATTATGCACTTTTTCACATTTGCCAGTTTTTTTGATTCCAGAAAGGCTATGGGACTCATTCTCACAGTCTCCTATGCCCCCACCACTTGGTGGCCCTCTGCTCATGGAAACAAGATTTCCCACAACTGCACCCGGCCTCCCAGCTGGTCAGAGGGGAGTGTTCCACAAAGACACAGGTGTTTGTGAGGATCCTGTCCCCCATCAGAAAGCCTGCTCCTGGAGCCATGGACAGGGATCTGGCCTCCTGAGCTGCTCAGTTCTTATTCAAAGCCTAAACTGGGGACCCCGAACATTGCTGAATGACTTTCTGAGTCACCTGGACTAGAGGGGCCTGATTTTTCTTTCCAGGAATGGATGTAGCGCAGCCTCCATTTTCAGGGCTGACATTGACAATGGATCTAGTTCCCCAAACTGCACCACAGGAAGGAGAAGCCCTTCCACCCCACAGCTTGGAAACCCAGCCCAGGGGAGTTCTGAAGAAGTGCATCGCTGCCAAGTCCAACATCCCTGCAGAGTGGCCTCTGCTCCTGAATCAGCCCCTTCCCTGGGCCTTCCCTGCCCTGACACAACCACACCCCAGGCTGTGCCAGAGCTCTGGTGCTCTGCATGTCCAGGCACACAGGTGGGACCTGAGCCAGGGGTCCCCTGGGCATCAAGGGGGAGAGGTCTGCCTCTGCATCAGGGGAAGGTGACCCCA